GATTTGCATTAATTGAATTGCTCCTAATTATAATATAGAAATAGATATAGGTTACACTTTTAGAAAACTATTGTAAAAGTACGATATTTAAAATCATTGATAAACTAGTCACAATGCAATTTTGAAAGAATAAAAAAATTAAACAGCCAATCAATCGTTCATAAACAATTAAAGTTAGTAACTTTTTAATTAAAAAAATCTTCACAAATGTTAAAAATAAATGTCAGTAACTGTTTAACTTTCTCGTGAAACATACCAACTCTAGCTGCATCAGTTTATACGGGGATATCGATCGGTTTGAATCTATATATATAATAAGAATTAACATTTTTTAAAATAGTAAGCAAAAAAATAGAGAATATTAATTGCATTCCATTTTTGGTATGTTTTTTTAATTTTTTTAATAAAAAATCAAGTAGCATTTAATGCTAGCAAAAATCATGGAATTTGTTATATAAATGCATATTTGAATTTCAAACTTCAAACAAAACATGCCTAAATGTATTTTGAATTTTTTACGGGAAAAATTTAATAAACACGTTAAAGATTTCATACAATACATATATTTATATATATTACCTTAACATATAGGTTAATTAGTTTCATATGTAAACAATATATATTTAAACAATATATAAACAAATATAATAATTTGTCGTACAATACAGACAAATATATAAACAATATATTTATATACAAATATAATAAACAATACAAACAAATATACAAACAATATATAAACAAGTATAATAACTTGTCACTTATATATTTCGTACAATACATATATTTATATATATTATCTTAAACATATAAGTTAATTAGTATCATATCTAAAAAATATATATTTTAGGAACTTAAAGATTCATAACATTACTAACGTCATGTATATTTATAATATATTGTCACATACATTTTACTATAATTGGTAACATTTTTAAATTATTTGAAGAACTGGAGGTTGATTTGTAATTTGAATTTCAAATTCATTCAAACATTTAAAGGAAAATATCATAAACAGATTTTTTTGATACATTTCATTTTATCTCAACTTACATATAATCACATTCCTACCAAACATTAAATTTACTTATATCTTTTTAAATTAATTACATCAATAAATAATATTAATATGCATTACATATTTATCATTATATAACAAACATATTACTTCTACAAGTGTTATAAATAATAATGACATTATATGATAATAGATTTTTTGATAGATTAATAATTGAGTATTATGATGAACCAAAATATGTAAAATTATTATTATTTTTTATTAATAAATAAATATATATGTTAAAAGATTATTTATAATAATATAAACGGGGTAGCATGCTAACATATTGTGAAAATAAAGTTTTAAAAAAAAGTTCTAAAGTACGAAAACCCCGTGCATCGCATGGGATTCTCACTAGTTTAATGTGAACAAGATTTTAGAATTTATGAGGAAGGCCGTGATTAATTGAGATCCACATCTAGTAACACAGGTTTAGACTTTAAAACTATTATGATCACATGATCTGGCCCAAATTAGTAAATATAGGGAACTAGATGGAAAATAAATGAAGCCCAGCTCATAAATATAGTAATGGAGTACATACAATGTTATATGGCCTAAAGCTAAAAGTAAGCCCAATCTAAAATTAATCTGGCTACTTGGAGGTGGAGTTGCCTTTGCGAACCAGGTACTAGTGCACGTGCCTATTCTTCTCTACCTTATACCTACTAAATTGCAATTTTGGTTCAAGTTCAATAGTCTTTTATTATTATTTTTTTTCTCGTTGGAGGGATGGATTTATATCTCTGCAGTTTTTGATGTTTTTGTGGATGGTATTATTCTAAAGGTGTGTTGAATAATAGGCTTGCAATTTGACTGAATATTTCCAGAGTTAAATAAGAGCCGAAAATTAATAGCCTAGCAAATTGTACTCTAAGCACCAAACAAGATTTTTCTTAAAAAGTTAAGACACAAAGATTAACCAAGTTTTCCATAAGCCCATGAAAATCATGAAACTCATCATCAATCTTGAAATAAGTCTTCCAATTTTCGGTCATGATATAATAATATGTTCATTGACAGAATTTAGAGTAAGTTCTTGGAGAAGTTTCGTAAAGAATGAAATGTGTGGCCAACATTTCTCATCTCATAATGACTTATAAACCGATGTGAAAAGGGTTTTCAATTTTTGTCAATATCATCGTAAATATACATCAATATCTCTCTTTAAGTGGGGCCAAAAAGACTTGCCAAACACAAAAAATTTCAACCAAAAATGCCCGCCATAAATATTTATTTCTTTTTGTTGTTTAATATTTGTGATCTCTTATTTCATTTGCAGCCAGTCTAGAGATAGGCGGATTACCATCGAAAGAAACTTAACTGTGCAACCTTCCTCTCCTTTCCTTGACGTCGAGCTACTCGATTGAATTAACCTCAACAACTCGTGAAAGTAGTTTAACGGTGTTTGACTTTGTCAGCGGACTGAACTTTGGTCCCCATTGTTCGGGTCGAAGATTTTTCATTTTCGGCAATAGATTTCAAAATCATTGTCATATGAGCTATACATAAAATTTCATTTAGGCATAGAATCGTTTTTACCTTATCTCTGTTGGAATTTGAATATTCATTTGCATCGTACTTTACAAACACAATTGTAATATAAGCCGTGATGAAGAGAATCCATGTACGTTGGTGTGAACCTTTTGCAAACCATAATGTTTTGTGTGAGGTTGTCTAAAGTACACTCATCATTTCACAATATTTTTGTTGTTAGACAGATATGTATAATAGTTAGACAACTATATTTTTTCAACGGATATATGTTTCTTTGACATGTAATTCATCAGTTCAACTTTGGGATTTGAGGACAATGAAGTATGTTAAATTAATCCCTCATATCTGTAATTGTTGGGTAATAAATTACTTAAAGGCCTACTTTTAGTAATGTATGTTTCTCGA